CAGATTTGCATCTTCATTTTTTTCTGATTTGCAAAAAAAAAAAGGAAAGATTCTGGTGCTGAATCAACGAATAAAAAAGCTCATAGTCTCTATGCAGTGATAAAGTTACACACACAGTTAAAGTTACAAAGTAAAACCTGCAAGAAGACACTCATATTCCAAATGTCAATGTTGGAAAACCGATTAAAATGTTTTATCACTCATGTGTCAGATCATGGAGCTAGAAAAGGTTGATCAGCTCGATAAATTTACACTGCAGGGGTCCACATAAAAAAGTCTATGGTTCGCAGTTTTTTCTAGAGTCGGTCGGGAAACATGAAACACAACATTTTATTTCCTGGGCCTGAGTAATTCAGCATGAGGAGGAAACGTTTTGTCCGTCCACCCTGGAGCACACGTCATGTAATATTGATGTCAGTTTCGCGGCCGTTTTCCCTAAGTAACCACAGAAATCAATGGAGTTCATGCACTGTGTGGGAGTGGGAGGAATGGGGAGGGACAGACACGACACAATACATGGAGCAGAAATATATACATTGTGTGGACTGAGATACTTTTTTTCAGCCTTCAGTAATGTTGCAGAAAGTAAAAAATTCAGTTAACAGTAAGAAATCAATGACATTCATGGACTGACTGTGAGTGGGAGGAATAGGGAGGGACAGACAGGACAGAATACTGTACATCATAGCGGATACATGTAGCAGTGATCAATAGATCTAAAATAGATCTAGAAATATTTTTTTAGCCATCAGCAACATTGAATAGAGAAAATTTTATTCTGTAATTACGTACTACTTTCTGTAAATACACATTTATATACGTACTACTTTCTGTAAATACACATTTATAAATCCAGACTTAAACCCATGTAGCACATGCAAAATTGCATTACGCCAAAAATAATTTATGGCAAACATTTTACATGCAATTTGAAAAATACATGCAAACTTACTACACATATAAAAATTATTATATAGAGTCAGTAGTAAGCACAAAATTAATCTAGCTCTTGAACGATATTAATACCAATGCCACTGAACCCCAAACCTTTTTTTTAAATTATAAATGCAAGTTACATAAACATTTAGCATAGTCGTAATAGACCTGTTACGTAACTTGTTATTGTGTGTTCTTTTAAACTCAAGGGAGTGTAGCTACATATTTTAAGTACTTTCGTTTCAATCGTTTGAAACTTGTAGCTAATGGACTCGATAAAATATCCAAAAGTACCGGAACGGACGTATTTCTGTCAATAAGGATACCCTGGATATAACTTTACTTCATTGTTAATCAATACAAGACCATGTAGGACAGTTATTGGCATTCTTGTGGTGATGTTACTGTATTTTACCTGCCTCAATCATGGCCAGAAACCTATCAGCAACATGTAGACATTATAATATAGTTTTTTTAGCTGACTATTTCACATAAAAATTCACCGTTTTGAGTAATTTTCTTTAAAATGCCAACACCATTATTTTTATACTGAAACTGGCCATATCCTGATTTTTTCAGTCTGCAAAATTGCAGGTTGGTTAATATCATTATGTATCTTCTGCAATATTGAAAATGTCTCTGCAAAATGCAGACTGCAGATGGGTATTTCTAACACTGTCTTGTTTAATAATACACATGTTCCAAAGCACTTTTCAAAAGCACTATTTCAGTGTAGCACAAGCTTCTAGTTCAGATGGCAATTTGCAAAATTGCTAATGTTTCTTCTGCAACATTGAAAATGTCCCTGCAAAATGCAGACTGCAGGTGGGTATTTCTAACTGACTAGAGTCTATGGTGGAAATGGCCGCTGTGAATTCCAAGCAAATGCCGTGTCCCGAGGGGAAAGATGAACAGTGATGAACAGTGATGTAGGACCTCGGCTGTATGTTAGACAGACAATATCTCTAGCATTACAGTTGTAACAGGGCGGAGGGATCAGGACTCGAAATACTGGGTGCATGATGCAAAATGCAGCCTTCAGGTGGGTATTTATGCTGGAAATGGCCGCTGTGAACTACCCATGCAAATGCCAGGTCCCGAGGGAAGGATGAACAGTGATGTACATTGATGTAGGACCTGCCTGTTGGACAGACAATAGCGAATAGAGCATTACAGCTGTAACAGGGGAGATCAGGACTCGAAATACTGGGTGCATGATGCAAAATGCAGCCTGCAGGTAGGTATCTATACTGGAAATGGCTGCGTTGAACTCCCCATGCAAATGCCAGGTCCCAAGGGAAGGATGAAGTTTTTATTGAACTGCTAGTGATGTATCCCGACTGTAGGACAGACAATAGAACATTACAGCTGTAACAGGGCGGGGGATAAAGTCAGCGTTTGGCAGTGATCTGGACAGATATCAGCTTGTCATGATCAGGGAGGGAGGGAGGGAGGACTGCCAACTCTAAATTACTGCATTAAGTCTGTACTGGAAGGACTCCAAATTCATTTCTGGGAATAATGACGCAGGTGCAGCCAAACTAGAAATTTTGGTGCACAGAAAAAAATTTGAAATATTATTGCAAATATTACTGCCCCTCTTCAGATTCTATGATTGATTCTGACATTCTATATCAGAATTCAATCTATTCTATAACTTCTACATTTTTAATTCTAGTAAATACTCATCTTTTTCTGATATTAAAACATCAAGAATACACTGTATACATACAAAGCCTTGGTACCTTTACACATGTATAAACAAAAATTATGTGTATGACTCCAATGTACTAGTAATATTCTGAGCCCTTATACACAAATAGGCATGAAGAGTATTTTAGTTTTTACACAGAGGACATGCTGGGAATGGTTTAGGAAGTGATTCAAACCCCCCCCCCCGCCCAACGCAGACTGATTTTTTGTTGTTAAGGGAACTACAGTTCCTTTATCATGACCTCTGACCTCCAAGCAGATGTATTGTTAGCCTTGCATGTTTTTGCTACCTTCTTTATCCTGCTATACCCATATAAAAAATGTAATAACATCTGCCAAATCAAACTTCAGCATACGAAGGAAAAAAAGGCCAGAAAACACAATTTCCTGAAGTGCTTTCCTGGCTGCTACTATACGATGTAAAGGTACCATCACATACAAGTCCAAATGTTACCTTCCAATATACCAATATCAATCATGTAAAAAAATAAACTAACATCCGTCCAAATCAAACTTCAGCATACGAAAAAAAACAACACAATTTCCTGAATTGCTTTCCTGTCTGCTATCATACTATGTAAAAGTCCAAATGTTGCCTTCCAATATCAATATTAATCATGTAAACAATGTAATAAAACATATATCCAACTTCATCATACAAAAAAAAAAATGCTCAGAAACACAATTTCCTGAATGTCTCTCCTGCTGTGTCTGTTTCTGGAGTCTGTAGACAAATTTGGTCCTGATGACTTCCACAGTCCCCGGGGTGGGATTGGAGCTGGCTGGAACTGTGCGTGAATCTAAATCCGCCTATTTGCATAGACTGGTCTTTAACTGGTCGCTTCCAGATTAGAGTAAACACCCAGGAAAGAATACTAGTAACGATTGGTCTGGGAACACAACTAAGCAGAGAAAGATTTCTACAGCAAATATCTATATCTGTTATATTCATATAATATGTCACCATAATAATGCCACTAGTGGTGCCTGTGGCATATGGTTTTTGTATACAGAAGTCCATACATAAAACCAAAGGCAATACTAATTTGTTTCCGCATGCATTAAGTTATATATTTTCAGATATAATTTTTAGTTATAGTTATGGGTAGGATTGGAGCTGGCTGGAACCCTGCGTGAATCTAAATCTGCCTATTTGCATAGACTGGTCTTTAACTGGTGGCTTCCAGGTTAGAGTAAACACCCAGGACAGAATAATGATCAGTCTGGGAACACAATTATAGCAGGGAAAGATTTGTACAGCAAATATCTGTTATGTAAATGTAATATGTCACCATAGTGATGCCAGTGGCATATGGTTTTTGTATACAGAAGTCTGTGTATGTAATGCCAAAGGCAATACTTATTCGTTTCCTTGTTCCAGGCCTGATTATATTTCCCTATAGTATACAGTTCCTTATACTTGTTCGGAAGTATGAGTGACTGTGATCCTTATATTTTTTACCAGAAAAATGAGAAGGAAATAAAGATGGGAAGCTAAAGAAAACCTCACTATAATTAGTATGATATAATAATGTATTGTTGTTTTCCTTGAAGTTACATTGTATAATACCAAGGTACAGGTACAATGTATGTGTTACTCTCAGTCTGTAACACATCTAAGAACCTTCAAATACAATTCAAGAACCTTAACCATGGTTTTTGCACTACAAAATAATATTTTTTGGCTCGATGGAAAGTAATTTAATTAATTCTATGTTACGTTAACTTTTAATTTACTGGAAATATGGCATATTTACTTATCCTCTTCATCCCTTGCAAGGCATTACTATGTCTTTTATGAAATATTGTATAGCATATCATAATTCATATGTACATGCATGTAAGTTACTTTATTTGCAAGGTAGAAATTTACCTAGAAATATGAATAGATTATTTTTAAATTCCACCTATAAGAATCCATAAGGCAGCGGTAACTGTTATATACTAAACCTTGGGAAATACTATCCAAATCATAACATTGCCCCCCCTCTCCAAAAAAAGAAAACACAACACAAAGAAACATGATACATGTGCAAACGGAAATCATGGTGAGAAAAATCAGCTTACTTGTAGGTACACCACAGTTTCTTCAAAATAGTGACCAGATTCTAATTGTTATTTAAAGAATGTTTGCGATTAAACTATGATATTTGCAGAGTAAATAAAAATAACAACAAGAGTGTCCCAAAAACGGTGTCAGTAACAAAAACACCAGAAAAGCTCAACCAGCTGGCGACAGGACCAGTTTTTCCACCGATCTGGATGTTATACCAACTCTATGGATTGTGTTAGAAGCAGTTTGATGTTTATATTAACGACAAACAGTGAAATAAACAAGGAAATTAACAAACCTTCCCGATGCTTGTCCGGCTATTCTCCCTTGCCGGGACCACGGAAATCTGTGTGACGGGCATGGATGCTGGAACTACTACCGGCCTAAAACCACGCAAAACCCCGGCAAAACCGTCCTCAGTTCTCCCTGATTTCCTTGTACAGCCCTTTAAGGTCCTACTGGATCCGTAGGGAGGGATTTTTCACGCACATTTTCAGGATTTTGGTGGGGAAAGATGTTCTGGTTGGCAGTAGAGTGGCCCGGTTTAGGTTCTATACTCGACCCGTGAGAAAAAATGGCCGGAAGGACTACAGTTCCGAACCCGCACAGCTACTAAGCCGAAAGAACGGTCCTTTTCCTCAAATCCTGGCCGCTCTGCTCGCTCTTTCCGCCGTTCCTAGAATCGGGCACGTCGTTAGGAAAGTCGTGTCGCCATTTGGAGGGTTCCTGACGTCAAATTCAGGATGTCTGAGGGGGAAATTTGTTCAGATCTTAGCCTAAAACATCGTCACAAAATCAGCCCTGGCGGGTCGGACTGTACCATTTCTGCAGAACGGGAGGGGTGGCGGGGTGGACTGTACCAAATGGTTCAATACAACAGGGGTACACATAACCTCCGTAGCAGGCTTATACTATAGAACTGGGGGTTTGGTGGTCTTCGGCTGTTTTCTGATTAGCCCAGTTCTAAAAAAACCCGGGGGTAATTCAACCAGGCCGGCTATGTTGTCTATATGCAATCAGAAAATAGCACACAAAAGCTCCCAAAGACCCTGAAGACCCCCAAAACCCCAGTTTTTGGCATGCTATGGAGGCTAGGTGCACAGGGCTGTCAGCCTTGGGAAAAATGTAGCCATCCGTAACAAAATGTCAAACTGTGCTGGCTCCAAAAGTCGACAAACGCTTAATCGAGAATGCTGGACACGTTTCAGAATCAGTAATATTCTTACAAGTCTCAGGGTTGTAAGTTATAAGCAGTGGCTCATGGTAGCTTGAAAATAAGGTTATGGTTGTTAATTTATTCGTTTATTGTCTCTCTATATTTCATCTTTTTGCACGTTTTTGTGGTTTACATGTAGCGATACGTGTATATATAACGTTACAAACATGTATACAATTCAATGTATGAAACAAATCAATCAATCAATCAAAACTGGTTTATTCATTCGGGTAAAAAAGGGTATTACAGCCAAAGGCCTTCTGTACATTCCATACATTAACACGTTACACATTTAAGAGTGTTTACAATATAATGTTAAAACAATAAAATCAATATGACGATATGATAACTTGAACGAATCAATTGAAAGGGTACACCTGAAGCCAACCAAATATCTGCTTGGAGATTACGTCTAGTGTACTCTTATTTAACAACTAGATTGAGGAAATAAGGAAGGTGAATTTTCCGGAACTGTCGGCTTTGTCAAACACAATAAATCCATTTCTGTATGGTGGGACTTTCCACTGCCAGTTCTGCTATACATGTTTTATTCTTCAAGCAGACGTTTGGGGTTTGGGCTTATTTTTGGCGTGTTTTATGCTTCTTTATATACCGGGCTTTCTTTTTTGCACTGGTATCTTTTCTTGTGTGCGATGGCATAAAAAAAAGATACCAGAGCAAAAAAAAAAAAATACGAAAAAAAGATTTAAAAAGAAAAACGAAAAGAAGATACGAAAAAAATGGCGTAAAAAAGATACCAGCGCAAAAAAAAAAGCCCGATAAAAAGCCTAAAAACTCGCCAAAATCCAAACCTCTGCTTGGAGAGTGCACCTGTTTACCTTATAAGCTTACCTGAGTGTTTCTATTGTCAATATCCCATCCCATTGTCCCGCTATTCACACCTGTCCTTTGTCCCTACCGTAAGGTGGGAACGAAAAAAGCCTTAAAAAAGCCCCAAAACACGCCAAAAAATAAGAAAAAAACCCCCAAACCTCTGCTTGGAGAGTACACCTGTTTACCTTATAAGTGCTTCTATTGTCAATATCCCCTCCAATTGTCTCACCATTCACACCTGTCTTTTGTCCTTACCGTAAGGTGGGAACGAAAAAAGCCTTAAAAAAGCCCCAAAACACGCCAAAAAAAAGAGAAAAAAAACCCAAACCTCTGCTTGGAGAGTGCACCTGTTTACCTTATAGGCTTACCTGTAATGTTTCTATTCTCAATATCTCCTCCTATTGTCCCGCTATTCACACCTGTCTTTTGTCCTTACGTAAGGTGTACGGCTGAGGCTTTAGACCTTAAAGCGGCTCAAGTGTCGGCAAGACAAAAGCGGTTTTGTTCAGGTATGACGTAAGGACACGGCAGGTTGCGCACGGGGATTTTTTCCCGTTCCACCGGAGCTAAGATACACTTACCAGGGGTAGCCTCTACCAGGCACCGCGGATCGCTGGAAAAATAGTAGAAATTGACCGAAACAATACACCAGGAGAGGTAGCCGGCCAGAGAAGATCCAATTCGCGACCTACGGGTGCCCAGGGGTGCCAGAGTATACAGTGCAACTTTACGGAATATAGTGCAATTTTACTAGTATACAGTCCAATTTTACGGAATACAGTGCAATTTTACGGAATACAGTGCAATTTTACTAGTATACAGTGCAATTTTACGGAAAACACTGCAATTCTTCAAGTATATAGCGCAATTTTACGGAATGCAGTGCAATCGTATTAGTATACAGTACAATTTTACTAGTATACAGTGCAATTTTACTAGTATACAGTGCAATTTTACTAGTATACAGTGCAATTTTACTAGTATACAGTACAATTTTACGGAAAACACTGCAATTCTTCTGGTATATAGCGCAATTTTACGGAATGCAGTGCAATCGTATTAGTATACAGTACAATTTTACTAGTATACAGTACAATTTTACTAGTATACAGTGCAATTTTACTAGTATACAGTGCAATTTTACTAGTATACAGTGCAATTTTACTAGTATACAGTGCAATTTTACGGAAAACACTGCAATTCTTCTAGTATATAGTGCAATTTTACGGAATGCAGTGCAATCGTATTAGTATACAGTACAATTTTACTAGTATACAGTGCAATTTTACGAGTTAAATTGCACTGTATACTATAGCTAGTACTGTATTCCGTAAAATTGCACTGTATACTAGTAAAATTGAACGGTATACTCTGGCATCCCTGAAGATACACTGACTTCGCTGAAGTAACGGTTGCTGAGTCATTACATGAAAGGTTACAATGCAAGTTCAATTCAAGTAAAGCTCTTTTGAGATACTTTGAGGCATTTTCAGGGGTGCCAGAGTATACAGTGCAATTTTACGGAATACAGTGCAATTTTACGGAATACAGTACAATCGTATTAGTATACAGTGCAATTTTACTAGTAAAATTGCACTGTGTACTAGTAAAATTGCACTGTATTCCGTTAAATTGCACTGTTATAAATGTTGAAATGTTAGGTATATATATAGACAGATATAATAGCTGGTGTGTTACGCAGAAGGGCGGTTATACCGGCTATACAGATACAGAAGCTGGTGTGTTACGCCGAAGGACGGTTATACCGGCTATACAGATACAGAAGCTGGTGTGTTACGCCGAAGGGCGGTTATACCGGCTATACATATACAGACTGATACATACTTGTAGATTTTAAACAGGTCATTCTAGATCTATGTAAAAGCACAAGAAGGCACTTAGAAACAAAATAGTGAATAGTCACTCAGGTAATGTATAGATGGCTGAAATGAAATAAATGACGGCTGCCGAACAAATTCCTAACAGTCTGACGCGGTCTTACCGAATGAGCGAATGCTGAAAAGGTTTTTCCACGAGGATTTGGCGTGGATTTTGCTGCATTAGCTGGCTGGCAAAAGCGCCAAACACTTTTTACGTGTAAAGTTTCGTTTGTTTTTGAAATTCTCTATATATGTCTACTTTTTCCCGTCACCATTTTCACTTCGTTCTAATATTATATAATCCATTGCTGTGAAGTAAAAGAAAATCTTCTAAAACTCCTTTTTCGGTTACAGGTAGTGCAGCTGGGCCAAGTAGTGCAGAAGCGCTCTTAGCGGAAAACCTCCGAAGTGCACGGACGTTGTGGCGTGCACACGTGTGATCTTTCTTTTAAAGTAGAGAGAACTATAGGGCCAACTAGATTTCGATATCGCTGCATGTATGGCAACAAGGCAATTAAAGCAGAGATGGCAGACATCGCCCATCCAGAATACTAGTAGATCAACAATTACACACAGACAGACAGCTTTTGCATGTTGTGGGGGATCGCAGTCCTTTCGGATGGTGCCGTAAAGCCGGTGGCCCCGTGTATGAGAGAGCTTAAGGCGTTAGCCTCAAGTGCCAAACCTCTGGAGGTAAAAGAACCCAGCACACCTGTCAAGAAGAGTAGGACCAAGGGTCACACGTTGTGCTCGACGGAAAACAAGGACCGTATCGAAGCCGCATTGCACTATAAGCTAAATATTATGCTTCACCTTAATTGAGAACGCCAGCCGCCTTGCCAATGTCTTTTAGCCACCAGAAAATCTGCTTGCACACTAACAAATGCTGTCTTGAATCCTTGTCCACACTCACTCATCCCTGGTGCCTCCTTCGTACTTAACCCTCCCTGTCGGCTGGAGGAGTTAAGCCTGTCTCAGGAATGTCGGTAATCTTATTCCTTTTCCTTCCAGAGATGACAGGTAGACACTCGGGAGGCTTTTCTCACCTACAGTCGAGTGAAATGTTCCTTATTGCTACATGTAGTCTCCAGGCAGATATCTAAATCATGGCACAACATTGTTTAGTCTAAACAAAAATAGCGGCCATATATTTATACTTAGGTTGTGTCAGAAAAATTAGACTTCTTTTAGACTTCTTTTAGAAATGAAGACAGACTTTCCTCCTAAATGTCGTCTTGAAAATCGTCTTACCACGTTTCACTGAAAGTTTTTAGCTGACTCCTGTTAAGTACTAACAGAACGATACAGAACGTTAGATAGATGTAATCATTTCATTTCGTTTATTTGAAAAGAACCATCCGGTGAACGCAGATGTAATAGCTCAGCAAGTCCTATCTGTCTCCCATCCACGCCACCTGATGTTCCTCACATGTTACAGACCACGGGTCAAACAAAGTTCATCGCCCTCTTATGCAATCTCGCGAATATCGCCCGCCATTGCCGACAAGATGGGGCGATCCTTTGGTTAGTGGGCTTCGGGAGGCGGCTGGAAAGAGTAGAAATCGGCCAAATACTGAAATAGACGGATAACATGTCAAGGGAGTTTGGTCGGCTGGAAAGAACAGCTTGCCGCTCCCGAGACCAACTCCCCCGGCATGCTATCTCTCTATTTGGCCGATTTCTACTCTTTCCAGCCGCCTCCCGAAGCCTGGTAGAGGCTAGTCTTTTGCTAGTAAACCGAAGCTAGGTACTCATTTTCACCTAAATCAAGTGAGGAAATAGGTGTGAAGTACCCTTGCCAAGGGCACAACACCGGGGTCTGCCAGGCATTCGAACCCAGCACCTTCAAATTCAATGTCAACGACCTTTATATAATAACCA